GTGACGTTTTGAAAACATGAGGTCATCCTGAAGTTAAAGCTCGGGGGTCTCTAGTGCTGGTAGTTAAAGGGGCCATGTCCTACATATTTCTTGTATTTAAATTTATATTTTTTTGCCCCCTGAGGTCCACTTATGATATTTATGGATCAACAAACATTTATATATATATATATATATATATATATATATATATATAATATATATATATATATATATTATATATATATATATATACACACACATTGTAGAGAAACTAACAGACTAACGAAGTTCTTTACAGTGTTGGTGACAGGAACCAGGGGTCGCCATGTTCACAAATGTAGCCATTTTATTTACTATCCAAAACCACTGGTGAACCTACACATCTTCTGAGTTTTTATATGTAATGTTAATGAAGGTAAAATAGTGATAAATCTAAAAATAAAATTTTTTTTTTACTAAACTGAAACCTCCTTTCAGTAGTGTTCAGAGTCACTTATTGGAAAGCAGCGCATATCAAAGTTCAGAAGGGCAGGTTTTATGATGGCTGGGGACAGCTCCCCTGTCAGCAGCCAGAAGGGCCATGACCCACAGTCACAAATGGAATGCCATCCAAGTGACATCAAACTAACAGCCTGGCCAAAAGAAAACAACGGTGCAGCACTCTGCTCAGCTGGCCCGAGCACCACATGACATGTTTACTTTTCTTCTGCACCTGCTGCAGGGGAAAGCGACCAAGCTAAACAAAAAGAGACAACTTCCTGGCTAATGATCTAAGAATCAGTGTAGTTTTTAGTGTGAAATAAATAACCCTTAGCGCAACCTTTCCTATGAGGAAAAGATATAATCATGTGAAGTCTGGAGTTAGCATTGTTTGGGAAATAGAGTATAGCGAGGCTTGATAAAGTCCGGCCTCTCCATTCAGCAGAGTTGCAGTACAGTGTCATTCTGTTCATGGCTGAGTTACTGATATGGAGTAACTGTCTCTCTCGAGCTTCAGCCGCCAGGCTAGCAAGTGCTGATCAAGCACTTTTATTACTGAACTTGTTGAACTGACTGCAGACTGCACCCGACCACTATCTCTTTCAAAGCATGACAGCAAAAGGAACATACTGTGGTCACAGAGTCACAGTATTCTCTCACTGACCTTAGAAGAAAATCAGAAGTACTTAACAGCTAGTAGTTTATTAGTTTAACAGCTAGCTAACACATGTTAAATGTGGACAGACAGGGGTGCTGGCACTGGCATCTCTACCCCAATCCTTCACTTTACTTTGTACAAAACAGTGTCTGTAGCAAAACTAATACCTAAAGATCAGTGTCTCCATACTCAGTCAGAAAACTGCATCTGAAGAAATAAGCACTCAAAAAAATTTCTTAAAACACTGTCTCTTCTTAACGTGCCAAATATGAAACTATTATTTTCACTATTTTAACTTTAGCTGCTGAACATATAGAAGTCCTTCTCCTATGCATAAAAGCTAAATGTGCATATAATACATTCTAACAATCTCAAACATTCCTCCCATTCCATTAGAGAGAAAGAGAGAGAGAGAGAGAGAGAGAGAGAGAGAGAGAGAGAGAGAGAGAGAGAGAGAGAGAGAGAGAGAGAGAGAGACAATCCCTGACCCTGATTAGTAACGATTCAAGAATAATCTGATTATATTATGAGTTTCATGCATCATGAAACCTCAAATTTCACTGCACTTGTATATGATTTGTTTTTTTAGTATGATTCAGAATTATTTGTAAAAAATTAGTGGAATACACAAATGTGACTGGAGGAACTACATACACTTTAGTGCAACAGACAATTAAAAAAAACAAGACTTAGCTTTGAATTTACAGGTTTGAAAATAGCCAGACAATTTGAACACTAAATATTATTATAAACTATTATAATTGATTCTAACATAGCAAAATCAGTGCAGTTGAATTACTACGTTTATGCATTTTTACTCCCTCACTGACCCAACATCACGTTATTTTAAAGGTGTAACAATACACTCAGAAACATGATGCTGCACGACTTACTAACGACGCTAGAGCTGGGAGGCGTGCTGGAGTGAGATGTTTGGTGTTAAGGCGCTAACTTTGGTTTTCAAACAATGTAATTGCATTAGATGAAATCACTAATAGGACATCCATTCTCTACAGTGCACTGTCACAGTGATCTCACAATGTCACAATGCATTGTAACACCCCTATATTGTATGGCCACGAGTGACAAGCGATTAAGGAGCAGAACTGCAATTCTGAAACTTAGTGAATAAGTTTGCAAACTGTTCCGTCAGCTCTCCTGACACTTTTCACAGCTGTCTGCAAGGACTGAAGAGGGCACAGAGTGAGACTGGAGCGACACTTTTCCTCCTCTCTATTGTTCTCACGCATGCAGCATAGAGTGTGGGTGATTGATAAGACAGGGCCATGTGCTGATGAAGCAGGGTGTGTGGATTCTCCCAAAGCTCAGTGAGGCAGGATAAGGTAATACAGGAGCCCTGTCCTAAATGCAGAGACCGTACTGCATGTCCTCTTCCTCTCAGGAGGGGACTGCATGCCAGCAGGCCAAACATAATACACCCTCGCCCTCTAAGAGTGCTTGCTGTGCTGTTCTTCCATGAAATCAATGTCTTCAATGGATACTGCGAAGAGAGCACTCCAGGACACACAATAAAATGATGTCAATCTCACTTTTAAATCCACTGTGATGGGACAGTGGGAAAGCATAGTGTTCTGGGTCTGGGGTACAAAACATACAGGAGGCAGAAATATTGTTTGTCGAGGAACAGTGAAAAGGAAACCTTTAGGAATCATTAGGTATTAGGTTTTCAATACAGGTAATCTAATTAGTTATTTAAAAACCAGAGATGCATCTGTTTCAATATCTGAACGTGTTAGAAAATGTATCAGCATCATTGTTATCTGAAAGATATGTACATGAAAATGATCAGCTATTGGCATAATTCCCATATCGGCACATCCTTCTCAAAAAATAATCATTCCAGGGATCTTTCCAGCCTAAATCAGAGGTCTTAAATCCAGTCAAGTTTCCTTTTTTAGATTTCGTAAACACTACTAAAGATGAGAATAGGTGGCCCATCAAATACATCAACACTTTAGTTACAAAAAAACACTTTAGATTACAAAATCCAAGACCAAAAACTGGATGTAAGGTTCAGATTTCAAGACCCCTGGCCTAAATAATATGTATGAGCTAGCATTAGCTACTAGCATCTCCAGAATTTTAACTTATCTTATACTCACTACACTTTCTGTGTGTATTATACTGTGAACTTGTTTTAAAAAAACAGAATATTAGCATCGCTATCAGTCAACAAATTCACTGTTGGAGCAGCCCTAGTTCTAAGATCGGCAATGCGACCACCGGACATGTCCTGGCCTTTCTAAGCACACACATGTTCCTGTTCATTACCACCATCCATTTTGATAAGACTGTTCTGATTGAGATTCCGATATGGACACTCAATTCAGGTGATGGTTCCACCACATACCAAACCAAGCATAATGAGAAATCACAAGGCATCTAGAATTTAAGTGAGGAGTATGGTAAGCAGGCCAGTGAAAATGTTCCCGTATCAAAAGGCCAGGATCCAAACAGGTCAAATCCCTGGTCAGCCTACGCTGGACATAAGACAGCACAAAGCCCCTGTCTTACTGCAACACAGTATGATATTTATCCACAGTGTTACAGAGACCCACAGTATCACTGTCTGTGCCAGTATATTTTAAGAACAGGATATCTGAGTGACACAAAGTAAATAAACTGAAACACAGCTACAGTGGACAAGTTACAGCAGGGAGCAAAGTAAATCACATGCAAATAACTAATTGTACACATACAACCATGCAGACAAATCATTCATATTAATCTGGATATTAATTAGCCCTTGATCTAAACTTAGTAACAAAACCTTTCAATATCTGTTCTCTTCTATGGTTATTGTTTCCTACACTTGTGTAGAAGAGCATACTGATCTACAGTAGAAGTGTCATTATGTTATTATTTGGCTGGCTGTCCATGCCTAATGAGTTGCTGGGTGAATGACTGTGTATGACACTACTATTAAAGGACTTAGTCATCACTGCAAAAAGGGGCAGCACATTCCTGCCATGTGAGACTGCTAGACTAACCACATAAACCCCTAACTACACATCCCTATAGAAACCCTCTGAATGAATAAAAAGTATTCTGTATCAGCCCTACAGAACCCCATGTTCTCATAGTCCCATCCGGTCCTGTCCAGAGACATGGCAGTTCTGTTTAAAGTACGAAGGCTAGGGGAAGTTATGATAATGTTTCTCAGCTATATACACACATCTACCCCAATCTGCCATAAAATTAAAACCACCTCCTAGTTCCTACACTCACTGTCCATTTTATCAGCTCCACTCTCCACAAAGGTGCACTTTGTAGAGTGTAGTTCATCTGTTGCTCTGCATACTTTGTTAGCCCCCTTTCACCCTGTTCTTCAATGGTCAGGGCCCCCACAGGACCACCACAGAGCAGGTATTATTTGGGTGGTATATCATTCTCAGCTCTGCAGTGACACTGACGTGGTGGTGGTGTGTTAGTGTGTGTTGGGCTGGTATGAGTGGATCAGACAAAGCAGTGATGCTGGAGTTTTTAAAGGAGAAACCTGGAGCTACTTTTTGGAAAATAGGAAATTCTTGTTACTTTTATACACATACACACACATACACTTTTATATATACATATTTTATATATATATATATATATATATATATATATATATATATATAGAGAGAGAGAGAGAGAGAGAGAGAGAGAGATAGATAGATAGATAGATAGATTGATAGACAGACAGACAGATATAGATATAGATATAGATATATAGCTAGATCTTCCCCCATTTTGACCCCGACTGTACACTGGGCGCACTGCTCCACTGTAAATGAACTTTTTTCCCTTTCTTTTCTTCTATTCAGAGCTCTAGCTGGGCTCTGCTGCACCAAACCGTTCTTCTCCTGCATTTGCTTACCTTTGACTTGACTCTCGTACTCCGCGATGATCTCCTTATCCTTCTTAAACTTGGCAGGAGGATGCGACATTTTCAGCTGCTCCTGCGGCTCTGGGAGGGAGAGTGAGTGAGTTAGCCGGTAAGTCCAATCCAGAAGCTAACACTGAACACTTCTAATACAGCCGTAGCATCCCGGACATCTGCAGGAGTTTGGAGCGAAAAAAGCAAAGCTACACAAGAGCGGAGATCCGACTGAAATAGCCCGGGAGTGGCGCTCCAACCGCGGGGAGCCGAGCAGCGCAGACACCGGGGGAATCACGGCTGAGCCACAGAGAGACCGAGAAAGAGTGTTGAGTTCCCCCTCGCCGCAGAATGCCCCGAGTGGTCGGTCTGACTTCGCTACGGACAAATCTCTGCTGTTACAGCTTAAACAGACCATCCGGCACCTCTCAGCGGCGAGCTGTGGGCGAAAAGCGCGAGCGGACTGAGGAGTTTGCGGGCAGCAGCGTGGAGAGCAGCGCTAGGCTTGGGCTCAGACTCAGGGGCAGCATGGAGCAGCTCTCTCTCTGTGGGAGAAGCAGGGGAGGGACAGAGGGAGGAGGGAGGGGAGAAGAGGAGAGAGCGGAAACACTCCACGGATTGACAACTTCCCCGACCAGTCAGGCAAAAAGGCACACAAGCAAAGTACTTCACAACTTTCATCTGCAGTGAGACTGAACGGTCTGGATTCGCTCAAAACGAGCCGCTAGCCGATACTCTCAAAAAGTGATTTCTCTGTAGCGGTTAAACGAGTTCCTGAACCTGTATAACCTCGTCAGACTAACCATTACGACAGTTATAACCGATTAGGACGACAGAAAGCTCAGGCTTGACGTTAAAACTCTTGTTAAATCTTCACTGAAAGTCTGAGTAGCGCCTGTAACTCACTGAGCCTCCTCGGGCCAAACGTATCGCATTACAGGCCAGTCTCAAATGGGCACAGCCTGCCCCCTAGTGGACACAACAGTTCCTACCCTAACCACTTTTAAAGAGCTCTTTCACACAGGTGATGTAGCTATCTTAAGTTTTAAAGGGTACATCGTACATTTTCCCTGCGGTCCATGGCTCTGTACCAAAAACAGTCCTAATTCATTTTTACATGACCCTTTACCACCTCTTTTTATCGCTTAACTGTGCCTTTAACACTGATATATGTAAATGACCTGGGTTATGATTGGTTGCCCAGTCTTGCATCTCCTTCAAAAGTAGGCCAGGCTGAAACCCTCCTTATAACTTAAGTGTGAATAGGTGGGCCTTGACTTCTCCAAACCAGTGATTTCAAAATGGGCCTTATGTGCTCATTTTCCACACATGGACTGTATGTATTGTGGAATGAATGGTATGTCTTAAACTTAACATGCTATATCAATTTCTTCTATTTAAAAAAGTGAGGAAAATGTGTTTTTCTATATTGGCCCCCTTAATATGAATGTTTGTTATATGTACATTACAGTACTACACGTTGGTCACAACATGTTTCTCTAAACTCAAATGAACACAATTCATTTCATTAGAGGTTAAATTCTTTTTAATTCTATTGCACTGCAATGCATGGAAATGATAAAACACTATTCATATGTCATGTTAAAAGCAAAACCATTTAAATATGACCATAAAAACACATCATTGCACAACAGCAAATGTAGACAAAAAGTAAAGGATGTACATAAAATAATTTACAAGGCATATTAACACCAAAAGTACAGTCAAATTTCATCAACTAAATAAATAACATTCTGAGGACAAGCAGCATCTGGGGTCATGTGGCAGGGACGTTGAGTCAGGTCATAACAACGAAGCAGTGCTTTAACTGATCAATCTTTTTTGTGCAAATATGCTGACCTCTCCTTAGCTCAGTTTAAAGAAGGCCTCCTCCAGGACTTCTGTGAACTTGTCCTTCATCTGCTGACGGAATCCAGTGTACCACTCTAGCAGCCTCATTCTCCTCTCCGTCTTCTCTGCCTGGCTCATCACTCTCTCTTTCTCTAGGATGGCTGGCAGCTCCTTCCAATCTTTGAGGAAGATGAAGGGCGCTCCTGCGTCTTTGAGCAGCCGGAGAGGGGAGCTGCGGCCGTCTGCGCAGGCTCCAGGAGTGAGGACGTCCTCCACCACAGGCACAGAGCCATACGCACACGCCTCATAGATACGGTAGCACTCAGTGTTGACTCCTACTGGGCACAGGGTCAGGTCACTCTGAGCCAGAGCCATCTGGTACTGTCGGGAGGTGTCCGCTGTCTCCTGAGGAAGCCACCTAACGCAGGAGAGGAACAAGCATTGTATCACTAAGAACACAATCGTGTTGGAAATCCTGTTCTCTATTTAAATGGTAACTGCATTAATGATTAGAGGAGGTTAATCCTAGTTCTGGACTACATTACACAGTCAGTTGAAATTTTCCCTTCAAAGTCATTTTCTTGTGCTAAGCTCAGTGTATGACAAGAAAGCCAGCCCCAAGAGAAAACAAACAAACAAGTCATTCAGACAGATTTGGTGTGAATTGCTCTGTTCTAAAGAAACGTACAGAGTCAGAATTGTTCATAGTGGTAAAAGGAACAAGACGCCTAAAGAGTTGCCTCTAAAAGCTACCCCAAAGAAGTGTATTACATGAAATGGTTAGGAATACATTACCTAATGCCTGAAACAATGTTTTAGGATGGATTTATGGTAAGATTTTGGCCTAAAACAAATGTTTTAAAACACATTCACGGCACAGAGGTACATGCAGGCGTTAAATTGCAAAATAGTCCCCAAAGAAAAATGATGTTTTTCAGATTTACCACTATTTTACCATTATCAGTATTACTTATAAAAACACGTCTATGTTCAGTGGTAGTTTTGGATAGTAAATTACACAGCCATTTTTCCACTGTAAACATCGTGACTACTGGTTCCTATCATCACCACCACCAAAAATCAGAGTTAATAACGTTCTCCATAATGAACCATTTCACATAAAACCACTACGCATGATTTTCTCTGTATCTTAATGATTGAATTAGGGCAAAAATGAACACATGAAATTCACCTTAATAAGTTAATTATCAAAAATACATCAAGTTACAGTTTCAATGTCGTTTTTAGGTCTGCCACTATAAATTCTATTAGTAATTGAGTACTTTGACAGTTAATCAAATAGTCACATATTTATTAAGGGCTAAACAAAAAATAAAGAACAATAATGAACATTTCAAGAATTGCTAAATACTTGCAAACCTGGCAGTCTGTTACACTACATATGAGTATATATACTTAAAGGTCTTACTGTAAGAGAGACCAGTAGATTTTAAACCATATAATCATTATTCAAATTCACAACTGTGCATTACAGATTCACAGAGAAGGTACATTATAAACAATGACTTTAAAATTAAGAAATTAAGGACGTTTAATCACATACTAGTTATCTGTAATGAGGTGAATGCCTCATAGACATTCTAAGTCGATTGGATAGGACTGTCAGATAAACTTACTTCTCTCGAGCGTTTGTGAGACATTGTTTTTCCAAGCCATTTTGTTTCAGGATGCCCATAAGAGTTTCCCGAGAAGAGTTCTTATAGACCGTGCCAAGAAAGTTGCAGATGTAGGGTCTTGCAGAGCTTACCATCTGAGTGTTTGGCATTACGACTGGAAATTGCCTATACCTGATAACCAAGAGAAAAGAAACAGTAATACTAACCTAAACCTGTTGTGTTAAAGGCTGGGAATCTAGAGACAATCGAATGTTAAACTAAGCACGAACCTAATAATTAATAACTTTACAATTATAAAGCATCTTACGTGGCTACACCAAGAGGCCACTGGAAGATGTCCTTATCGTTGACCCAGGGGCTGTCATACACAAGGAAAAGCAGATCCACAAACCCCCCCTGTCTCTTCAGATAGGGGCTGATCCAATCATTAGTGCACTGTTCACTGCCCAGTAAGACTACAGCCACTTTAGAGATTGTGTGGGCCTGGACTAAAGCCTGAACATGCTGCAACCACTGGATGGAGTAGGAGATCTTCTGCTGTTCTCGTCCATTCAACACCAAAACTACACTGTCAGTGTCCAGAGGAACATGACCCTGCACTACCGCCGGACCTGTGTAGAAACTGTGAGAAGAAAAAGCTCTTTTTTTAAGTCGTTTTCAAACAGGGGTCAAAATCTCACACTGTTTTGAATGCTGAATCAATCTAGTGGATTTTTTTATGACAAATTAGGCTTTATTAAGGTCAAACAAAACTGACAGTCAGCATGCCAATAATGAGCCCTCTAAAATAATGCTGTTGAGCTTTAGCAACAACCTATTTACAGACACTGATTCTGGTTGGAAAACAACCTCTGTATTGCTGACATCTTACCTGAAATTGATCTTTCCTGACTGGATCTCTCCTTCTCTCCACTGACCTGTTTTGTCAGTAGGATTCAAAGGCCCCTCTAAAATGTGTTCCCATAAGTACAGTCCTAAAACAAATAATAAAAAAAAATATATATATATATAACAAACATATTCTAAATGTGTTCATTGTAATGTGCTTAACAGGACCGTATCAGGTAAACTCAAAGTTTCCTTGCTTTTTCGAAATATGTAATTTCAAAACATACTCTTCACTCTCAAGCACACATACGGAAACTAAACTGCAAAAAAGGCCTGTTTGGAATTCATTGGTTTTGTGATGTTATGAAAACCAACTCATTTACATACATTCACTGGCTAATTCATTAAGTACACCTCCATGTTTCTACACTCACTGTCCATTTTATCAGGTCCATTTACCATAGAGGTGCAGCTTATAGTTCTACAATTACAGGCTGTAGTCCATCTGTTTCTCTGCATACTTTGTTAGCCCCCTTTTACCCTGTTCTTCAGTGGCCAGGACCAGCACAGAGTAGGTATTATTTGGGCGGTAGGTCATTTTAAGTACTGCAGTGACACTGATGTGGTGGTGGTGTGGTAGTGTGATGCACTGGTATAAGTGGATCAGACATAGTAGTGCTGCTAGAGTTTTTAAACCCCTCAGTGTCACTGCTGGACTGAGAATTGTCCACCAACCAAAAATATTCAGCCAACAGTGTCCTGTGCACAGTGTCCTGTGACCACCAATGAAGGACTAGAGGATGACTACCACAAGCAATAGATGAGCTATCGTCTCTGACTTTGCATCTCAAGGTGGAATAACAAGGTAGGTGTGTGGTAAGTGACAGTGTTTAAAAACTCCTGTGTCTGATCCACTCGTACCAGTGCAGCACACACCAACACACCACCAACACGTCAGTGTCACTGCAGTGCTGAGAATGATACACCACCCAAATGAGACCTGCTGGGGTCTGGACCATTGAAGAACAGGGAGAAAGGGGGCTAAAAAGTATACAGAGTAACAGATTATAGTCTGTTATATAGTCTATAGACTTTAGTCTATAAAGTGCACCTTTGTGGAGAGTGGAGCTGATAAAATGGAGTGTAAATACAAGGTGGGCGTACTTAATTAAGTGACTGGTTGGTGTATATCTGTACATTCAGTCTACTGCAGTTTAGTCCCGCCCTATTTTAAGGAGTGTTTCAGCCCAGACTGCTTTGTGAATGAGGCACAATACAGGGCAGCCAATCAGTTCATTAACATATATGTGGCCCTAAAGGCATAGGCTGCTTAATCACAAGAGGTTAAGAAAGGTTGGGAAATGCTCATGTAAGCATGAATTATGATTGTTTTGATATATAAAACCACACAAATATAAAACAAAAAAAAATGGAAATGGGCCCTTTAAATTCTGCTCAAATACAGTTCTTAAAGCCCAAGAAAAGAGACTGTACATGTCATGTGCTTATGTGGATTCCCATGAAAACATGACAATTATTCATTACTAAATACAACATTTTATTGCAAAACTGGTAGAAAGATGTAATCTTTTGCTCAGTGAAGTCACTTGTAAAAGGTAAGCAGTCACACAGTAACAACACCAGTGATCAGCACACTGTGAAGGCAATAAGATAACTGGGCACTTACCTATAGCTGCCTTTCCCAAGATCTGAACTTTGTATCTTTTGGGCCTACTCTTAGCAATGCGCTCCTGATATGATCTATAAGCCTCCCTCCGTTTCTGCAGTACAGTGATGGAGTCTGCACGCTCATCCTCCTCCCATGGGTTCCATTCTTCCTCTCCTGCTTTGGTGTTGTCTGTCAACAACAACAAAAAACACTCAATCATCATAAAATGCAACCATGCACACAAACTCCAACTCATGATAATAATACAATATCATACCTGCATTTTACTAGCCAGGCACATCTCTTATATTCTTATGCATGCAAAGTGGTCTCCTCCCTCTCGGAACACATCACTGGCTAACAATAGTTAAGAGCATAAGTAAGTTAAGCATGCAATGCAAAATTATGAGATATTAACCTCTGAGAAAGGTCTATTGAACCAAACTTGTTAAGTAATAGTAATAGTAAAAGGCTGTCCAAATTATAATCTCTCACTCTCTCATTTATCATCTAAGCTGCTTATCCTCCTGGGTTGCAGGGGGGTGCTGGAGCCTATCCCAGCACTCACTGGGCGAAAGGCAGCAAACACCCTGGACAGGTCGCCAGTCCATCACAGGGCAGACACACAGACATACACAACCACACACACACACTCACACCTAGGGCAATTTAGAATCTCCAACTGGCCTGACTGCATGTCTTAGGACTTTTTGAGAAAACTGAAGCACCCGAAGGAAACCCAGGCAGACATGGGGAGAACATGTAAACTCATAACATAATCAGTTAAGTACAATTATTTGAAACAATCACAATTATTTTCAATTATTTTAATTATTTAGGAATACAGTCATTTCTGCAGCAAGCGGAATGTGAATTGGGTGCATTGGGGCTTAAGAAAACAAAAAAGTTATAACTTCTGGTTTGGTGCTTTAACATGTTTAGAGGGCAGTGCTGAGTAACGTTAGAGTATCTGTTAGCTATGTTGCTGATTCTAAATGTTTGGCCTGTAGCAGAATGAGTGTGGGTTTTTTGCTTATTTATTTATCGCTGTTGTCAGAAGAAAACCTCATATCTCCAAAATGGTAACTTCACAGGAAAAGGAAAAAACCTACTTTACTTTTAATTTACACACAATGTAAAGGGCAACGGACATTTTCAAATTATGTCAAAAACTGAAAATGACAAAAATGGAGATATGAGGTTTTCTTCCAACAGCAGCGTTATTCTTGTGGAACTCTGCTTAACACAGCATGAATCTGTGTAACTGCAGACATATGTGTGAGCATTTGAATGCAATCACAATTTTGTACTAGTGTATCATTTCAACAGTACAACCAGTATTAGCTACTAATCAAACACAGCTAGGAAGAAAGATGGCTAATCAGCTAATTTAGCCACTTTGAGTTGCACTCAATGAACAATAAAAGACAATTAATTTGCTAATTGCAATTATTTATATGACAATTAATCGTCAGCTGCAATGCCATGATCGTGACAGGTGTGAGTAATATTCTAACATTTTTCTTCAAGTTATTTATTTACTTATTTATTCACTTATAACATGTGCCTCTAAAGTAAATTACGGTACTGCACAAAAATGACTTCCCCTGGAGTACAGAACTGCCCCTACTTCCAGGTTCAGAATAAAAACAGTTAAACAATGTTAAGTTTAACTGGGTTATTGTAGAAATAATACAATAACTTATTTACCAAAAATCTTCAGCATAAATTTGACAGCAAACATGGACTCAGGAACACATATTGGAGAGACCAGTGAACAGGAACCGCGGGGCTTAATTTTAAAGGAAAGTTTCACCAAAAACAAATCCCAATTTTCCACATTACCCTAAACACAGTCAATAGGCATGTTTAATGTCCAAGTTTGCATCTTTAATTTTCTACAAGAGCTACGAGGCTAATGTAACAAACTTCTATGTCGCTGACAAAGACTTTATCTGGCGATCTCAGAAATTCAGCCTTCAAAAGCAACCTCACTGAGTTATTTTGTCTTTTAAAGATATCTTGTGATAAAGCTTCGACTTAAAATGAATTTTTAAAATACATGCCAGGTGTTATAATGCAAAATAGTACCCAATTCTTTCAGATATACTACTACTTTATCATTGCCAACAGTGCACACAAACAATTCAAGACACATGTAGCTGCAAAGGCTGTTTTGGATCGCAAATAAAATGGCTATATTTGTGTTGTAGATATTGTAACCCCTGGTTGTGATCACTGCCTTTGTAAAGAAAATCAAAGTCAGTAAGTTTCTCTACAGCGCACCATTTCACATCAGACCACTTTGAATGACTTTGTCTCAGAGATTTAATTATGCATAACATTTTAAGTCTGAAGTCAAGCCTGTTCAATATGTAAAGAGGTGAAGGACAGCTCTCACATTGGGCTCAAAACCATCCAGCATAATTGAGCATAATTGAGCCTGTTTTGTAAAATTTGGTAATATGAAGCAGATGATGTATAAATCCACCTTACTACCCAGGGCCACGAGATTACATACATTCTGTTCTTTATCAGGCCTTACCATAAGATGGAGTATACAGCAGCTGTGTTAGCAGTACAGCCACTGATAATAGTGTTTCAAAAGCCTATTTTGCAGTCTCATTCTACACCCTGCAGAGACTTGATTTCACAATTTTTACCCCACACAGGAAAAACGTCGTATGAACGTCGTATGAAACGTGACATGCATTTTAGAGCCGGAGCAGAGAATAAGGGAATATTTAGTCACATCTACACTGACATCTGAAGTACATTTGGCACCTTAAATCTCTATAGATCTATACAGATGTTCTTTCAAAACATTTCCTAAATGTCCATACTTTTCCTAGGGCAGTCCATTCCTGCCACTTCTTTTTTTTCCATTTTTAAGTGAATTGCTATTCCATTATTTCGCAATACTCTCATTATTTTGAGATACTGTCTAATTAGCTTTCTCAAAATAATGACAAAGCATCTCAGAATAATTAGACTGTTTCTCAAAATGCACACATATATATATATATATTTGTTTTGGGTTTTTTTTTTTTTGCAAAATAATGGCAAAGCAATTCACTTAATAACGAAGAAAAAAACAGGTGCTGGATCTTTTTTATTTTAAGTGGGAAGAATGGGCTTTCATAGTTTCCTGATCTATAAATGAATGTTTTTAAATTTAGTATTTATTGTGTAAAAAATCGCGCGCACTGATTTAGCTAGTGAAGTGAATGTAAAGTGGTCAGACAGTCATCACGCAGCTTAACGCACCTGCGGAGCTCTTCTTCACCACTCGGTGAACACGAGAAATAACCTTCTTACTGAAGAACACACTGTACGCAGCGTACAGCGAGAAAAACACATAAGCCAAAACCACAGCTACTGCGATCTTTCTCCGGATTAGTCTCATCCTCAAACCCGAGCTGAGCGCCCATCCTGCTCCAGTAAACACTGACAGGACCCCGGACCCGAGAAGGCTGTATCATTCACTGCCTGTACATAATAATAAGTGAAATAGTTACCCTATGTTGGGCATCCAAAAAACACAACTTTATTTGTAACTATTTTTATAATTCTATTTACAAACATCAGCATATTCTAACTAAAGACTACGTAAATGTCACATTATAATCCGGCGTCCTACACAGTCCTATAAACGGCTTCCGTCTGTGAAAGGCCCTGTGAGGGGTCGCTGTGACCGCCGGTTTATCATCTGCAGAAGATGGTGTCCTTAGCCGGACCTTCGGGCTTTCTCTCCTCTTACCTGCACACAGCGAAGTTCCTCCTGTCCAGACAGGTTAAAGCTGTGGTGCCCGGAGCTGTGAGCAGTGGACATGCGGCGGTGAAGCAGAGAGGAAGCGGCGGAGACTCGGCTCTGACCAGTGGTACGGACTGCGCCCGCAGCTAACAGGCTACATCTCCTTAGCTCAGTTAGCTCAGGCAGAGAGACAGGTTAAAAGTGCGCTTTGTCAAAAATTATCTTCAGCTGTCAGTGATATTTGTAAACTGCTGTATGTGCACCGATCAGCCATAACAGTAAAGCCACCTCCTTGTTTCTACACTCGTTGTCCATTTTAGCAGCTTCGCTTACTTAGTTAGGTGCACTTTGTAGTTCTACAACTACAGACTGCAGTCCATCTGTTTCTCTGCATACTTTGTTAGCCCTCTTTCACTCTGTTCTTCAATGGTCAGAACCCCCACAGAGCAGGTATTATTTAGGTGTCGTTCTCAGCACTGCAGTAACACTGACGTGGTGGTGGTGTGTTAGTGTGTGTTGGGCTGGTCTGAGTGGATCAGACACAACAGTGCTGCTGGAGTTTTTAAACACCTCAGTGTCACTGCTGGACTGAGAATAATCCACCAACCAAAAATATCCAGTCAACAGAGTCCTGTGGGCAGCGTCCTGTGACCAGTGATGAAGGACTAGAGGATGACCAACACAAACTGTGCAGCAGCAGATGAGCTACTGTGTCTGAGGTACATTTACAAGGTAGGAGTGTCCCAGTAGAGTGGCCAGTGAGTGGACACAGCATTTACAAACTTCAGCAGCACTGCTGTGTCTGGTTCAGAAATGTAATACAGATACATGTCAGGTATGTGCCTAGTACTAACAGTTAGTGTGAGAACCAGGAGTTTTTGGGACAGTATGGTAAAATGGAATTTTTTTGCTATTATGGATATGAACGCTGGACCGTGAAAAAGCAGGACAGGAAAAATATTGATGCCTTTGATCTGGCAAAGATTTTTGATTATTTCTTGGATCGTTGAACAAATCAAGCCTCATGTTTCGCTGGGCTCTTTTGGAAATATGATGAGAGTAGTGAATTAATAGGAAAATGCAATTATGCTTGGAACGGTTAACTGTTTAGGAGGAGGACTGCAAGCAGAAAGATGGATGGAGACAATCAGAGGAATGATGAACAAGCAATTAAAAAGCCTAAAGATCCAAAGAGAAGACAGGAATGGCCAGTCCTGGTCTAGGAGATCTGCCACACTGCAGAGTTTATCTCCAACCCTATTCTAGCACATCCAGGTAATGGGAGGTTTTTGGGGCCATCTGAGTGTAAGAGCCAGCTGTGTTGGATCTGAACTCTCAATGGTGGTAGATCTGCAGGACCAGGATTGGGTAGTTTTGTTCTGTAGAAACACTGTCTGTCCATATGGTTGCCAGGAGTTGGTATATGAAAAAATAAAATTATTCATAAAATTTGTATTCCAGTTCAAAAGATTCCAGACCAGATCACAAAATATCTGCTTTTATATCTCTGCGATGTTTTTTGTACATCATTAGCCATACTGAAAAAAAAAATCTGATTTCAGCTGAGCATAAGTTTTGGGACAAATCAATGTAAAGCAAGATTGTCTCTGGCCCACTGACATCACCAGACTCCTGTTAGATTTGTTGGGAATACTCTTTATTATAGCTTTATTGCAGCCTCTTTCAGTTGGTGCTTATTTTGAGTGTTCTCACTTCAATTTCCCCTTCAACAGAAGACCCCTATTGGAAACAGTATGGGCTATGTTGTGTGGAAAAAAAAAGCCATGCTTTAGTCTCGTGCTCATCTTTTGATCTGGAATACTAATTTTATGAATAGACACATTTTTTCACCTTATTGGCTCAGTATTTTTGCTTCTCATTGTATAGGCAGTGCTATATTTCAACTAGGCATATGAAAACATTTGAGTTAGTGAGTTAACTTGTATGTTTCGGAACAAAAAATGCAGCTATGTTTTTTGTTCTTTCTTTGGGTTATTTCTTTACATTTTAACCTCTTATGTGCCAAAACCATCTGCAACCTACTTCTGACATTCTCAAATTATCTTTTTGGTAGGGCATTTTGGAGTGCGTTTTGCCCACACTGATATCAGGATCCCTGATTTCTCTGACTATCGCCGTCATGAGGTGATGGACCCTAAGAAGTCTGCTCAAGACAGCAGTGAGACCCGGAGGGCTTTCTCCTACTTGGTAACAGCGTCCACTGCTGTAGTGGGGGTGTACGCAGCTAAGACAGTAGTTACTCAGTTCGTCTCTTCAATGAGCGCTTCTGCTGATGTTCTGGCCTTGTCCAAAATCGAGATCAAGTTGGGTGATATTCCAGAGGGAAAGAATATGACCTTCAAGTGGAGAGGCAAGCCCCTGTTCGTTCGCCACAGAACCGAGAAGGAGATCGAAACTGAGGCTAGCGTGGACATGGCGGAGCTCCGGGACCCACAGCATGACAAAGACCGTGTCCTCAATCCTTCTTGGGTCATTGTCATTGGTGTGTGCACTCATCTTGGCTGTGTTCCCATCGCGAACGCTGGCGACTATGGTGGGTACTACTGCCCATGTCACGGGTCGCATTATGATGCCTCAGGCAGGATCAGAAAGGGACCTGCACCCCTCAACCTGGAGGTGCCTTACTATGAGTTTCCTGATGAAAACACAGTGATTGTTGGATAGCTATGGACATTCTTTAGTTAATCTTATGTATGTCTGGCCAAAACATGTAATAAATATGTTACTTCAAACTATCAAACATCCCTGTTGTATTCTTGGGTCAGTAATGTGTATTCAAAAGTGAAATGGGTTTTTTACCATGCAGACTTTCCTGAGCATCTGCTTCAGCTGCATGTATAATCTCAATTTATGGGAAACTCCAGAGTTCATTTTCTAAATAAAGGTCAGTTTTACGGTAGTGAAAGAGAGATCCAGCAAAGTAGGGCATATGGCCTTATTCTTGTTGGTGCACATCTAATTAATATCACTCTGAACAATACCACAGAAAAACTGTAACAAATCCATGTGACATCACTGTGAACTCATACTGAAATAATGCTCGTATGGAATTTATCTGAATTGATTGGCAAAACATCATTTACATTTCAAAAGTTCAATACTTCTTTTATTTATGTTTTTTGTTACCACAAATGCTCTTAACACTCAGAGACTGGCAGTACATAAGGTATGTGCTACAGTGGAGTCATTGAATCCCCTTCACACCATAGTACATTAATTTTGTGAAAACAGATTTATTTCTCAGGTCTTCTGGTTTCTTTGACCTTATCTATGTCCAGTCATTAATACCTATAAATAATGATCTGTATGCAGCTTGGCAACACGGTCTTGATCTTTTTTTTATACTGGTTTCAGTCTATATAATGTACCTCTGCTTGAAGCTCTTTGTGAATGTAGTTCAGTAAAGCAGCAGTCACTTGCTGTTGAAGTGATGCATTTCCCAGTACTATGGCAGTTAACTGTGCCACATCAGTCCAGTCTATTGACCCCACGATGGCCATGATGTCCTCATAGAGTTTCTGCTGCTGCTCTGTTGTCATTTCCATGATGACCTGAGGTAGTGGTTTAAACTGACCACTTGTCATCCAGCATCCCAGAAGTCCTCCAACAGCCCCACCTTTCGATAAGAAACAAATCAATTTCACAGCAAGAAGGATGAGATCTATATTGAAATATATTGTTGCCATTAACCCTGAAGAATACTCACCTACTGCAATGCCAAGCGGACCCCCAACCAACCCACCAGCAAAAGCAAGGCCCCCAGCAGTCAATGCCCCTTTCCCGGAATGCTTCACTGCGGTCTTTACTTGTTGATTTGCAGACAATTCGCAGCACAGCTTCATCACATCATCAACACGCTGGGACATGTTGGATAACAGACCCTCTGTTCCTGGGGAGGGGCGACAGATGGACTAATAAACATTCAAAGCCATAGACCATATTAACCTGATCATAAAGCAAACCAAAAAAAAAAAAGATCTCTATTTTTCAGTGGATGCAACACTTCTACAATAATGTTTTATTATAAGCCCAACCCACAAGCAATCAGCTGTTACACATCATATTTCAATACAATAAAAACCCAATACATACTTTAGAGTTCAGAGTTCATTCACAGATCTTTACAGGTCTGTCTGGGCGAGGCGAAGAGACGTTATATCCATTCTGGTTAACTGGCTACATCGAAACAGCTATTTTGCAGAATCAGTGCTAGAAATAACCCAAACGGTTACGTGCTGGTCATGACGTCATTCACTTGAAGTCTGCTGCACTGGTCATGCGTCTATTTTGCAAAACAAAAGTCTTGGAGTAATGTTGAAGCTGAAATTCTGGCTGTCTTTGGCGTCATTATGAAACATCATCAAATCTCAAGTAGTGTATACGCTACCCTAAATTAGGAAACGTCAATTAGCTCCCTTAATAGTATATTCAAAATTATATATAGGCAGTATGTATTTGAAAAAGGAAAAAAGATTCAATTTATACTTCTAATTTCATATTTTAAATGATTCCCATACCAAAACAAACCCATGGGTGATACTCCAGATAGAAATACCGAAGCCTTTTTTCAAAAGGTCTAAGTCACAGTCTCTCAGCCAAATAGCATGAGCTTTGTCCATACTTTTGGATTACAGCAAAGCCACCCAGAGTGGAATTCAGTTCGTTTTCTAAAAAAATTGCAAATCTACGTAAATCCTTAAATCATATAACCTACGTATGTGTTTTATTTTTATTAAATCGATTAATTCATTAATTCATTCATTAGTTTGTTCATTTGCTGGGGTTCGGGAGTGACCCTATGCAACTTTTCGATTAAACTATTAATTGTGTTGAACTGGCTTAGACCCTTTTCCATTGTTAATGTAAGAATATGACGCGAAATTGGCCCCTATAAACGCCTCTGAACGTTCCTCTGCGAGCCTTTTTAACGGTACTTTTATTTTGAAAAACACCACTGGCTCCCATTTCTAAAAATTCACGGTTCGCGCGGCCAATGTTATTTCAGTTACTTACTGAACCGGTTTGTGGCGCCGATTTCACACAGAAAATTAAGCACAGGACTTTCTGAACAAGTCCGAAAAGTTGTTGAAAAGTGAAAGAACTGTATCGTTTTATCTGCTGACTCGCGGTGTCAGTCTTATATTTCACGAAACCTGAATGAAACACAGATGTGCGGTGTGCCTTGTTGATTCAGCTGGCAGAACTTGTCCGTACAAGTCCCCCAAAATGTCCATGAGAGAGGCCAGAGCAGGTGGGGATGAGACTACAGGAGGAGCGTAATGGTGGATAAAGTGGAAAATTGTGTGTGTGCTAGCGGCTGTGTTTGGTGGGCTCTTAAGGGGGATGGACGAAAGTTTATGGTCGGAGAAGACCTGCTGCAGTCTCATCTCTGACCTGCCCCTGTGGATCATTGAATATGCCTGGAGTAATCGAATGGAGGATGTTTTAGAGGGTGAGATAAGATTAATCCTATTTTAATTTGCAAAATGATGAGCTTAGGTTTTCTTTAAAAAAGCTTCAAAGCTGGCTACTTTAAAATGTGAGTCTTATGTAGAAATACTGTGTAATTAATGTTTATTACTTGTTACACATGGTTATATCTCTAAATATGGTGTTATGAAGATGTTACAGCGCTGTTTAATGATAAACAAGCAATTATGTCTATGCTTCCTTGTTACAATGTGAACAGACATTATCAGACACAGTCAGACACTGATCAGCTGTAACATTAAAACCACTTCCTTGTTTCTACGCTCATTGTCCATTTTACCAGTTCCACTTTCTGCATAAATGCACTTTGCAGTTCTATAATAACAGATTGTAGTTCATCTGTGGTGGATCATTCTCAGCGCTGCAGTGATAGTGATGTGGTGGTGGTGTGTTAGTGTGTGTTGTGCCGGTACAAGTGGATCAGACACAGCAGTGCTGCTGGAGATTTTGAGAGTTTTAAGCACTCTATTAGACACACCTAACTTGTTAGTCCATCTTGTGGATGTAAAGTCAGAGACAGTAGCTGCACAGTTTGTGTTCGTCATCTTCTAGTCCTTCAGCAGTGGTCACAGGACACTGGACACTGTGGTCACAGGACACTGTTGGTTGGATGTTTTTGGTGGTGGACTATTCTCAGTCCAGCAGTGACACTGAGGTGTTTAAAAACTCTAGCAGCACTGCTGTGTCTGATCCACTTATACCAGCGCAACACACACTAACACACCACCACCACATCACTATCACTGCAGTGCTGAGAATGATCCACCACCCAAATAATACATGCTCCTTCAGGGGTCATAGGGTATAAGAGGTTAACAAAGGATGCAGAGAAACAGATTTGTCTTTTGTGAAAGTTTTAGGCCCCCCACTGTGGTTAGAAGGTAACTGGGGCCATCTGAGTCTTGAGGATCCATGCAGTATCCGTGGGGTGGCGGCTGAAGCCTGGATGGTCATGCGGGCCAGAGACATCAAACACTTTGAAAGAGTGTTGGAGTTCCTAGATGTCATTCACACATTACTGCCTCACTTAGTGACCTCCATCAAGCACATGAAGATAATATTTGGCCTGAAGACTTTGGTAAGACATTGTTGGGATTCTGCACGGTGTTTAAAATGCACTGATCTTTTATGTACAGTGTAGTCTGTAAGTGTTTATGTGGCTCTGCAGTGTAGCATATTGGAAATGAAACAGTGGCTATGAAGCTAAAAGTGAGCATCCATACCAGGTGAATTTTCTGAGAATTACAGCCCTTTTTATACACAGTCCTTCTATTTTAGGGGCAAAATGTAATTGGTTAGTTGGTTGCTCAATTTCTGGCCAGCTGCATGTTGTTACATCATTAGTTGCAAAGCCAAAAGTCAGAAGCCCCCAAAACAAACAGGAACTGCAAAGGGCTTACACTACAGGGATTATGCATATGCATATGGATAATTCCCTAAGCTAATTAAATCTGAAGTTCTAAGGGAGGAGGGGACAGTTCACTGGTTAAAAATAAATAGGATAGCTTGTTTTGGGTTTCTACATCCCTCCCCATTCAAAGCAAAAGCAGTCTGGTCTTGTATAACTGTAAAAAACTACCCATGAATGTTGAGTGAACAGATTTTCCATAAGTACTTTTTCTTATGGTCATTGTATCATTTCAAATGGGCTTGATAACAAAAATGGTGTCCAAATACTAACGACTAATTGTATGTATGAGCAAGTTTTTTTTGAAGGAGAGAAGTGCTTATTTGATGACAGTGTGATTGTCACTGTGTCATACATGTAACACTATGCCTCTAACCAGCTCATAGCATTATGTTAATGTTTAACTAATGCAGTGCAGACATTTGTATGACTATGCATTCTATATTTCAGGTCATTATGTGGATGTTGTGGGATGACCAGAGCATGGACAGCATCGCTGACAAGATAGCAAAGTTCTTTCCTGATCATCTCCCCCAGTATCACAGAAGTGTAAGTGCAATTTGTGTCCTTCTCCTCTAGGGGTCACAAAAGCCACAGAGATTAGCAAAGATAACCTGCCATACATTGATATCTGTTGTCTTCAACATAACTGAACTGCCTCTTTTTTACATCACTTAGAGTCACAGACATATTGAGCTAATGCAGAGGACTCAGCAGGATTTTATGAGTTTTGCTCTGTCTCTGGCCAAAAACCCAGACATGCGCAAAACCTATATCAGTGTGAGTGAACACCTTTTCCTTAGCTTTTGTCATTCCAGTGCTATAATCACTTTTATCCATTATCCTGTTCTTTTTGATTTACCTAACAATAAGGATTATGCTTCCCAAACATGTTTTCTATTTTTATGATTATTTATACATATATATGTATTTTAACAATTAAAAGTATCAGGAATTATGAAGATTACTTTCCTTTTTCCAATGTAGACAAATATGTTTTAGGAAAATAAATCTACAAATATATGTTATCACACTAGTTGAGAAAGACAGCAGAAGTATTCAGGGTGGGTTATTACGGGTACTTGTTTCAATAATATTAAATCCTTAAGAGCCGATAAAAGTATTGTAGCTGGTGTACCTTTTTAATAATTGTAGTCCACTCAAGGGAAAGAACATCATAATGTGGATATGTGTTCCAAGATAGTTTTAGTTGTTACATCTTTATATTCTTTATTACTGTGCTTTGTAGGATTTGATGGAGGAGCAGTATGGGGAGCGCTATGCACTGAAACTGGAAGAGCGATTGTCACAATACCTAAAAGAGCTGGACAAAGCTCTTCCTCAACCAACCCGTATTGACCAGGTATGGGCGTTTATATAGTGCAGAAGTCAGAAACCACTGTTCTGTTATTTAATTTCCAGTTAAAACAGCAAGTTAAATATAAATTATTCATGTTTCAGTGTATATTTCTGAAGAGAAAAGATAAAAGATAATCCACTTGCATAAAGAAGGGAGTGTTTAAAGATATAGAAACTCGACCATGCAAGATCTGGTAGATGACCAAAACTATCGCTAACAAGGCAAAAAAAAGAGAAATATGGCACTTGAACACAGAAACTGGAGATGTGGAGTACGTTTTTTTGGAGCGATAAGTCTAAATTTGTAATTGGGATTACTTGGATCGTAAGAAGCAGAAACTGTGGAGGTGTGGAAAAATATCGCTGCAGATTTCTTTGAAAAACTGAAAGCAAGACTCCCAAAAAGAATGGAACCAAAGAGTGGACTCACTAAATACTAAAAAATAAATATTATATTTAGTTGCTGAGGATTTTGTTGATTTCCTGTTAAATATACAGTACTGTGCAGAAAAGTCTTAGGACCATAAGCACATTGTTTAAAACCGTTTGTCCTTTTTTACTGCCAAAAACACCATATATTATTATAATAGATGCAAATAAAAATAAACAGTAACAATTTTTTATTCAAAGAATTTTTGGATATCTTTTTATCTAGTTTGAAGAACAAAGTTTGGTCGCAGATATTTTCCTGACTGCCCCAGCCACTGCATAGATTTGATAAATTCCATCAACAGCACACTTGATTTAACACAGTGAACACTATGATGATTACACAAAAACACTGGCATACTTAAAATAACTACTTGATGTATTCATTTTTTTGTATTTATTGTAATATTTGCGGTGTTCTGAACAAACGAAACACTTACTCCCCAGATGAACAGCCTTTTTTTCCTCAAGTGCTTAAAACTTTTACACATTTCCTGCTTTTTTCCTGACTCTGAAAAACAACCTCATCTTAATTAACTTGAACTCAATTTCCATTTTGACCGAAAATTAAACTCTGGATTTTGCACAGTCGTATATGTGTGGATTAAAGATTGTTTGCATTGTTGTCTATCCTTGTCTATTTATGTGATTTTGTGTGTGTCACTTAGGTACTAAAGCACCCACTGCCATTGGAGGAGAAAGAGGAGTTACTGCAGCAGTTACTTACCTGTAACATTACGTCCCAGCCCACAGCTCTAAAGAGGCTTCTAAGATGTGGTACGGATTTTGGTCTCACTCAAGTATGTGTCAAGTAAACTGTGAAATATTAAAGCACAGTACATTATATTTTCTCTCTTCCAGCTCTGGCAACCCACTATGGACGTAATGATACCAAGCAAGAGAAGGAAGCTGAAGCTGATAGACCTTTCCTTGGGCCTTTCTGCATAGCTCTTAGACCATCTCAGGCAAGGGCAGCGGAACAAGGGCTATTGCAGGCATGCTCCCAGGGCTCATGGCTGAGTAGAGATAAGAGACCTTTGTTGCTGCAGAAAGGCTCAGAGAAGATTCATATGGACAGACAAATGATGATGTTGAAGCACAGGTCAGATCTGGTGCCTGAAAAAAGTCAAGCTGATATAGATACATGTATGGATCCTCAGCATCCAATGAGGGCAGAGCCTCGACAGGCTGCAGAACAGAAGGAAGTTGAGGAGCACCTGTGCTCCAGACATGGTAAGAAAATGAAGAGTATCCTTTTGGAATGTTCTGAGGAGCTCAAGATTCAGGAATGGGACACCCTTGCAGCTCATTCAGAATGCACTCCTCCATCACCTAATGCACCTCTTCTCCAATCTACTCCTCAAAGGCTGACACGGTCCTCTGCATCTCTACTCCAGGACTCCTCTTCTACAAACATATCTTTGTCTTCACATCCAGACTCATCCTCCACAAATCTTTCAGGGTCTGAAATCCAACCGGTCAGCTCTTCACAAACCTCTTCCTTGCTTGTGCCCCCAGTTCAGCGAA